TTTCCTTGAACCGCTGAGCAAGTGAGGTTTCACCACAACCTCCTCTGACTCCTGTCGCACACCTCAAGCTATTCACTCTGCCCGTCCAGCCACACACAACCTGCGCCATCGCAAGCATGATGACCAGCTTGCCATTCAGAGGCTCCACCTCTCCAAGTAGCCATTCTCCTTCCCCTCCAGCCCTCCCTGAAGATGCACCTGGTCTCTGCTCATCATCATCGCTGGGAAAGAGGGAGGACAAGCTGTCTTTTCTCTGCTCGGAGTCATCCTTCTCTGCCTACAGGGAGAAAAGCAGCAGAGTGAAAGGGGTGGGTGGGGCCACCTTCATCACAGATTTTTTTAAAAAATCTATAGTTTTATACCCTGCTTACGGCACCTTGCAGGCGTCTAGCTTCTGAATGCTTTGCACTACAACTCCCATTATTCCCAGCCGCTGGCATTGCTGGTGGGGCACATGGCAATTGTAGTCCAAGGACATGGGAGGGAGGAGTTCCAGGTTGGGGAAAGTAGCCACAGTGCAGGTAAACCTTTCCCAAGGCTGAAGTGCATGCTTTGGTCAGTTGCATCTTAGCCCTGAAGATGGTCTCCCCAGTGTATTTTCAGTGCTAAGAGGGGGCACTGAAATCTATCAAGAATCCTCTGAGCATGGGCAAAGTTCTTCCGCACTGCTGTGCCACTGTCTGGCATTCGAGAGAAAGCCAGCTGAAAAGGGTGGGTGACCTACTCAGATGTAGACATTTGTGCCTCTCATTTTGGAGCGGAACGCTAACCGTGCACCCACCCCGGAGGCATCCTCCGCCCCAGAGCTTACCTGGTCATCTCTGGGGTCGTACTGTTTCAGCTGGTTCAGGAACTCCAGGTGCTTCTTCTCCTCCTCCAGCTGGGCCACCATCTCCTCGCTGTGCTGCAGCCTCAGTTGGGCCACGGCCAGCTCATCCCGCAGCCAGAGGTTCTCCTGGCACAGCCGCTTCACCTGGGCCCGCAGCTTCTGCTTCTCTGCCTCCAGAGCCCCGATGTGAGAGGAGAGCGCAATCATCATCTGCAGAGAGGAGACGAAAAGGGGTGTGTGCCTGGGAGGAACATTTAAATAAAGGGAAACAAACATCCCCCTGCCCTATCATCAGCCCTCTTATGCTTTCTGTCCCCTGTTAAAATATTTCTATCCCACCTTTCTCCTTAAAAATGACTATTTAGACGTCTAACCCCTCTCACATGCATCGACCCCCATCCCAGCCAAACAAAATGTCCAGTTCCTTCACCCAAGGGTCATGTTTCTACCACCTGCACCTTTGCTCTGCAAAGGGGTTGGAATGCCTGTGGACATTCCGTGACATGCCAGCCAGACATCCAATAGCCCTGCCTTGATTTCATTAAAAGAGAGAGAGAGAGAGAGAGGAGCAGGTTGCGATACCTGAGCCTCTGCGATGCCCAGCTCGATCCCCTCCAAGCTCTTGCAGACCAGGTCGTGCTTCTCCTCCAGAAGCTCCAGCGCTTGCATGTCCACAGAGGCAGCATCTGCCACTGCCACCGCCTCCTGCCTCTCGTCCAGCAGCTGCCGCTCCTTCAGCAGAGCCTCTTGCAGCCGGTGGTGGATGCTCTTGTTCTCGCTCCGCAGGGCTTCCAGGCCCTTCATCGCCTGCCGCGTGTGGACAATGATGTCCTCGGCCGTCATCCTCTCCGACGGGTTGTCGCCGAGTTCCACCATGACGGACATGGTGGGACCAGCTCAGCGTCAGGGGAGAGAAGATGCCTGGGCTATACGTTGAAGATCTGCACGGGTGACGTCTTCCCTTTTTTGGTGCTCAGAATCTGAAAGGGGGACAAGATGGGAGGATGGCTGCAGGCCAGCAGCACCCTTCCAGGTTCATGGCCAGATTCAGCTTTCAGAGAAGCTCTCAGATATCCCACATGCAAGAAAGGAGGGACCCAAAGTAGCAGCTTGATTTGAGATTAAAGCTCTTCCTGGCCATAATTAACCTTTGGGGAAATCATACCAACCTTTTTGACAGGAGAAAAGCCACACAAAACCTGGGGAGACCTCCAACCAAGGTGTCGCAAGGAAAATGGCACAGCCATCTGGACAGCCCCAAAGAGGGCTGGATTTAGTCCCAGGACTGGAGGTTTCCAACCTTCCTCTACGCCCAGCTCTGTATGTTCTCAGAGTCCCTCCCATTCCCACCCACCCCAAGGTCTCTACTTCCACAAATGAAGAATTTGCATCCTAAAGAAGGACGAACATGGAATTGTCTGACAAGAAAAATGCTGTAGGTCGTTCCCCCCCCTTCCCCCCCATAAGAAAGCCCAAGTGATAGGAAGACAATAAATACTGGATGCCCTTTTTAGTTCTACAGATAGAATTCAGCAAGACAAGGAAAAACCCACCTGGCCTTTTCAATCACTAGGCGATCTCATAAATACAGAGCAAGGTAAGTTGAAATCCAGGAGCAGGGCTTGGGGTGGGGTGCCTTTTGATCCATCCACTCCCCCCCCACACACACACACATAGCTGTGGATGCAAACTTCATCTATTTACTGGCTGTTTGGAAGGGTTGTGTCTTGAGAGCTACACATCATCGCCTTGTCTTGCTCCAAAACGGGTTCCACCGGTGCCTGATGCATCTCACAAAGCAAGCTGGGGCAAGTCAGGATGCCGAGCTCCCTCCATCCCGCCACCTTACACCGCGCGCATGCCTAACAAGGTAAAAACTGCACACGAACTGGAAGAGTTACAAAATGCCAGTTCGCTAATATATGCGCTAAGCACCTTTGTAATAGCATCCCTGTTAATCAGTCTTGACAGGATGTGAGGTGCTGTGCGGGAGGGGACAGCAGCACCCTCCCCCCTTGCAGCCGCGATACTTGAGGGACCAGCAGTGCCGATGGTGCTGGAGTCCACTCTGTAAGGACATAGAAAAATGCTGGACCAGACTCGTGGCTCTCCTTGGTCCAGCAGCTGGTTTCCCACTAAAACGGCCAGCCACATGGAAGGCAGGTGGGCCACCGGACTTTGCTCCTTGGCGTTCCCCCAGCACCTGGTCCTGAGAGACAGACAGCCTCAGACCCTGATGGTAATGCACCGCTATCATAAGCAGCAGGAACCGAGAACCTGATTCGCCACTCATTTCCCTAATCCCCTTTGGCTTCTTGTGATCACCCAGCAGATTCCCCAGTTCAATGGTGTGTTGCGTGAAAAAAGCCTTTCCTTTTAGCTCATCCAGAATCTCCTGCCACTCAGGTTCCCTAGAGGGCCCCACTGGCTTCCACTCTTGCCTAGAAAATACATCTGCCCAGTTTCACCAATTACAAGTAGTGTGCTGGTTATAACTGTACAAGCAGCGCACTTCATACATCCCTGTCCACCTCCCTTCCAACCCTTCCACCAGTCTTACACACCTTTTCTAAAGCTGCATTCATTCCTCCAAACCTCCAACCCTTCCACCAGTCTTACACACCTTCTTTTCTAAAGCTGCGTTCATTCCTCCAAACTGCTTACTCGGGGAATTTGCTCCAGCACCGTGAGAAGCTTGCAAGAGGTAGGTGTGGGCCAGTCTTGAAAAGAGAGCGACTGAGCACACAAGGCCCCTCCGGCAATAGTACACATACGCCCATATATCAGTAACTTCATGCCATCAAGTTGAGTCTCTCATGATGAACCTCCTCAGAGTTCTCCAGAGATATAAAGACTTCTGAAGTGGTTGAGCATGCCTGTCTTCTGGGGAAGCCCCGGGACCGTGCAGCTTGCCCAAGGCCACACAGGCTGGTTCCTCTCCCAACCCCTGGCTCCATGGCCAGCTACCAGACTCACAGAGACATCCAGCCAGCTACAAATAGCAACACTACCTGATAACCATGCAGATTTTGCAGAGGTAAGCTGTGTTAGTCATTTGCAGCCAAAATCAACAAAGCATCCCGAGGAATGAATGGCCTCCCCAACCCCTCTCTCAAACCACCTATCTTCCCAGTCCAAGGATGAGGAGCGAAAGGTAGTCCAGTCGCCATGACTCAACTTCCTGACATCCCGAGGAATCTTTAATGCACAAGCAAGAGCTTTCATGGGTATCTGACCCATCTGGTTGCCTTTTCTGCCTCCTTTTCAGTTCTTACGTTCCTGTCCTTTTTTTAGGTGCAGTCGACAGAATTGTACTTAACATTCTAAGCCGAAATTTCCAGAGGGGGGCAGCTGCATGAATCTGTTGCCATAAAAACAACAGAGATGAAGTTCCAGTTGCCATAAGCTATAGAGGACTGAAGGCCACCCCATCGAAAGCAGCAGTCTGCAAAAGTTTGCGCCTAATAAATCTAGTTAGCCATGAAAGCACCACAAAACGCTTTGTAATATTCTGAGTATGGATGCACAGAATACTCCGGTAAGGTCCTTTCACCCTCACTTCAGGCACCAGGCCTTGAATCTTGGACTAGGAGGCACAAATAACAAACCCACCCAAATCAAAGCATGGCAAGAAAAGAGGTCTTGAAACTTTCCACTCTCAAATCGGCTGCATGCCTGACTAAGGCTGCACATTATACACACACAATCCTCCAGGCACGTCTAACTGGGCACCCACTCCACTTTGGGTCCTTTTTAAGGAGGAAGGCAAGAGGAAAATATTTCAAATAAATAAAATTAATAAACTCCAGCTGTTCCATGTGGGAATGGAGGACAACCAACTTCTCCTGTAGCTGCCACAAGGTGTAAGGAGGAAAGGAGGGTGGCTGCTCTCTCTCTCTGTGTATGCGTGTGTGTGTGTGTGTGTGAGAGAGAGAGAGAGACAGAGAGAGTGTGCGATGCAAATAGAGAGAGAGACAGAGACAGAGAGAGGAGAGAGTGTGCGATGCAAACGGTCCCACAACCTTCAGCTGCCAAAGAAGCAGAGGAAACCCTCCAGACTAGAAACCAGAACTCACCTGCAGTGAGTTGGAAGCTTTTCCAGGCAACCAACCAAGAAAGCTTTCTACTTAGAAAAAAATCAGGCTCTCTCTGCCTTCCAGTTCTTTTCAGACTGCTAACGCAAGACAAACCCCTAATAGCACCACGCCTGGGCCACCTTCTTTCCTAGAGTTGAATGTACACTCACACACACATGCGGAAACAATAAAGGGAGGAGGCAACGGGCAGGGCCCCCACCACAAAGGAGGGGTTCTCCAGCTATTTTCCTGCCCTGTGTGTGCCGGCTGACTCTGATGTGCAAAGAAAATGGGGGGGATTTGGTAACTCTGGGATTGTCTGAGCTGGAAAACCTTCCTTTTTAGGGGGCTGGAACTCCCCTTCATTTCCAGCCAGGCTGGCACAGACTGTGCCCGGAGTGACACTGTGAGCAAAGCTTGGGTATATGATTCTTGCAGCCTTCAGAGTTGAATGTACACTCACACACACATGCGGAAACAATAAAGGGAGGAGGCAACGGGCAGGGCCCCCACCACAAAGGAGGGGTTCTCCAGCTATTTTCCTGCCCTGTGTGTGCCGGCTGACTCTGATGTGCAAAGAAAATGGGGGGGATTTGGTAACTCTGGGATTGTCTGAGCTGGAAAACCTTCCTTTTTAGGGGGCTGGAACTCCCCTTCATTTCCAGCCAGCCTGGCACAGACACACACACACACACACACACGTGTCTCAAAGGATTTACCTGGACTGCTTGCAGAACTTAAAGCTGAAGCAGAGGAAGGGGGAGGCTGGGAAGAGGGGAGCTGCTTGGCCACCTCCTTGCCCACCCTAATCCTGGAGGTTCCCTCCTGA